GGGTGAGTCGCGTCCAGAGGGCGTAAGCGCCTGCTGGGTGGGGTGGGGTCAAACCTGGTCAACTGGGCCATGCCTGGCAGGCCGGCCTGTTAACAGGCATGCCCGGCTTGATGGGTCTGCCCGGTACGTGGCCTGTCTGTGGCCGTGCCTAGGCCGCGAGGCTGGACACATGTGCCGGCACGGCACGGCCTGTTTAGTGTTTTTTACAGCCCAATAGGCTGAATATAGGACCGAAAACAGCCCGATAGGCTAAATATAGGCATAAAAACAGCCAATAAGATGAACGATATGTTGGCCGACAAGCTAGACATGTCGGTGGATCGGACCATTTATTTATAGTGTCATGTCTGAGCCGGGAGGCTAGGCACACGGCTGCCACGGCACAGTCGTGCCAGACACATTTAGCCTTAGGTCGTGTTGGCCCTGGCGGCCAAGTCTGGGTGGGATTGGTACTGGTAGGTCGTAGATTGGGTTGGGCCCAACTTCAATATGGAATCTCGAAGTGTGTAGTCCGGACGATCAGTCCTATTTGTTGCGTGAGTTGCTAGATAGCAAGTAAACACATGTAGGCCCAAAAACTCGGTACGGCCCGTTTAGTGTTTTTCACGTCCCAATAGGTTGAATATAGGCCCAAAACAGCCCAATAGGGTGGGATTGGCGCTGGTAGGTCGTAGATTGGGTTGGGGCCAACTTCAATGTGGAATCTCAAAGCAACATTAAATTTTCAGACTGTGTAATCCGGATGGCCAGTCCTATTTATTGCATGAGTCGCTACATAGCGAGTAAACACATATAGGCCCAAAAAAAACCAGCATGGCCCATTTAGTGTTTTTCGCAGCCCAATGGGCTGAATTTAGGCCCAAAATAGCCTAATAGGCTAAATATAGCATAAAAACATCCCAATAAGATGAATGATATGTGGGCCGACCCGTTTATGTATAGTGGCGTGCCTGAGCCGGGAGGCTAGGCACGCGGGCTGCCACGACACAACCATGCAAGGCACATTTATCCTTAGGTCGTGTCGGCCCTGGCGGCAAGTCTGGGTGGGATTGGCGCTAGTAGGTCATAGATTGGTTTGGGCCCAACTTCAATGTGAAACCTCAAAACGATACTAAATTTTCAGACCATGTAGTCAGGACGGCCAGTCCTATTTATTGTGTGAGTCACTACATAGTGAGTAAACACATACCTTGTGATTCACTATGCACACATATTGGGTTGGCTCGTGTAGACATTTTTAGAGACTCCCTATTTCGGTTTTGGGAAGCTTCTAGACCCTTTCTAGATCGATTATTTTTTCTAAGTTTTTTGGGTTTTTGGGGTTTTTAAAAATGCTTTTGAACAATTTTGAAATCGTTAACATGTTTTAAGTTCTCAAACATTTTTCTGTATTCATGAACATTTTTTCAAATGTCGAACATTTTTGGAATCTATGAACTTTTTTAGAAATCATGAACCTTTTCAAAATCGCAAATATTTTTGAAACCACAAACATTTTTCAATTCATGCATTTTTTGGATTCTCGATCATTTTTTGAAGCCGCATAAAATTTTTGAACTTGTGAATTTGTTTCAAAATCACGAGCAATTTTTGGATTCATGAACAAATTTTGAATTGGTGACCATGTTCCAAATTTGCAGCAATTTTTTAATGCGGGAATAATTTTTGGAATCACGAACATTTTTTTGTTTATGAATATTTGAACATTTTGAACATAAGTATTTTAATAGGAAACTGACCGAATAAAAAACTGAGAAAAATCGATAAAGAAAGCAGAGAATAGATATGTGTAAGTGCATCTAGTGCCACCCCTAGTTGGTTTTGGAGTATTGACGACAAACCTAGTTGAGGGACTAATGTGTTTGTGAGAATTGCAGGATAACACAGGTAGAAGTCCCTCATTGATTCGTTTTTCCTACCAGAGATGACCCCTAAAAATGTATGAAGACATTGAAATCAAAGGTGGTATGTGAAGATATTCACATTGAAGACTATGACAAGAGAAGACATCGCGTGAAGACTATGGAGCGCGAAGACCTAGCAGTTTCGTCGTTCTGTGTTTTTCTTTGTTGAGTCATAGGAACCACCGTACTGTTAAGTGGGGTCCAAGAGAACCAGTCGGAATGACTGGAGTGATGCTTAACCAAAAATCCTATGTCTTCGAGTGAAGACTATGAGAGCAAATCTTGTCCAGAGTTGGATAAGTCAGCTTTGCTTGTAGCCCAAGTAAAGTTACCGTGTGTGTTTGAAATCTGACCGTTGGAACACTTGTCAGTTCCTTAGTGACCCAGGGTCATTTCGGATAAATCAGGTCGGGTTGCCTAGTGGCTATAAATAGCCCACCCCCTACAACCATACACGGTTGGCTGCTCAGAGTTAGAGTACGGCTTTTGTCGTTTGAGAGCAACCCACCTCGAAGCCTTTGAGAGAGAATTCCTTGCGAGGATAAAGCCCTAACCACCCAGAGCCAAAGAGTGTTAGGCATCACTTAAGTCTTCCTGTCTGTGTGATCTGAAGACTTATTACAGTTGAGGACTGTGAATCCTCCAGCCGGTTAGGCGTCGCGTTCTGAGCATTCAAGAATCATTGTGGATCGCCGGTGAATGAAGTCTGTGAAGATTTGGAAGTCTACCTTGAAGACTTACCAGAGTGATTGGGCGAGGTCTGTGTGACCTTAGCTCAAGAGGAATACGGTGAGGACTGGGTGTCCTGAGCTGCGTGTTGAGGACTGGGTGTCCGGGACTGTGTGTCCTCAGGTTTAAATACCTAGCCGCCCTAACCAGACGTACAACTTTCACAGCAGTTGGAACTGGTCTACCAAATCATTGTCTTCAACGAGTCACTGGTTTCATCCTTCCCTTCCCTTTACTTACTGTTGGTCCTTGTGAAGTCATTGTATGATTGCATTATCTTTTGTCTTCACTGAGTGACTGTTTGTTCTGATTGGCTTCACAATATCTTCCTACCTGATCCTTACTGCCTAGCTGCTATTAGTCACTTTGCTTTCACTTCATTGAATACTTGACTATGGTTTGCCTAGTGTCACGGTGGATCGCAAGTCAACATCAGGCACATGTCATTTTCTGGGACGATCACTTGTATGTTGGTCTTCAAAGAAGTAGAACTGTGTATCTCTCCCCACTGTTGAATCTGAATACATTGTTGCTGGATCTTGCTGCGCTTAGCTTCTGTGGATGAAGCAAACACTCAAAGACTATGGCATTCATCTGAAGCAAGTGCCACTCTACTGCGATAACGAAAGCGCCATCAAGATTGCCAACAACCCAGTTCAGCACTCGAAGACAAATCACATTGAAATTCGTCATCACTTTCTCAGAGATCATGTTGTGAAGGAAGATATTGATATCATACATGTCAACACTGAAGAGCGATTGGCAGATATCTTCACCAAGCCCTTGGATGAGAAGAGATTTTGCAAGTTACGGTGTGAGCTAAATATCTTGGAATCCTCAAATGTCATGTGATCAGGCACACATCCTAACACTTACGCATATTGATGACTTAGATGTGCAACACACGAAGTAAAGTATATCTTCAATCAATGAAGACATACATTCTAAGTATGAATACATTAATGTGGAATTTGACTTCGGAGCGCCACGATAATTGTGCGCCGTGTCTGGGTCTAATACTTCCTATACGGTGGGTAACGCCACCATCAAATTCTTCTGTTTGAATTGTTTTACCCATGGCATTACATTTGCTATATCTTCACATTTTTGTTTGTCTTCATTCTCAACTTGTCTTCATGATTATCTTCACTATGTTGGTTTGATTGTCTTTCTCACACACACACACACACATATATATATATATATATACCAGTGTTCTGTCCTCTACAACATTCACTTATAGCTATGTCTTCTTGTTGAATCTTTTGAACTAAGTGAATGTGATCGGACCCTAACCTCTCTATGCTCTCTATCTCAAACCTTATCTGTCCAAATCATATGCATTCTCTTGAAACTGTCGAATGTCTTCTCTGCGTCCTTGTCAGCAGAAGATACAGAGATAAACATTAAGTCCGCTTTCAATGCTAATTCCTTCACCTGAAACCCAGAGAAGTGAGAACGACCACCCAACAATCCAGGCGTGCGTGGGAACGTGGAACAACCTCCGATAGGTTGCATGATGGCCACGTGTCCTTCAGATGTGAATCGCCAGGGGCACCTGTGTAATAACACTGTGCCATCCTTGTCCTTATAAATACACGCCTCACCACAGTCATTATCCTTTCTTCCACTCTCGCACAAACCCTAGCACCACCGCTAGCCCTCGACGACGCCGGCGATGAAGCACTTAGCTGCCGCGACCTCTCCGACACCGTCTTCACGCCGGCCGCGGACATCGTCTTCTCCGCCGTCGCCGTAGGTGTCCTCCGTCGCCAAGTTAAGGCACGGACGATCGAACTGCTCGGCCTCATCTCCCACTCCGTCTATCAGTTCTTAGTGTGGTAAATAAAACTTCCTTTTTACGGTCCCTTTGTTCCTATAGATTCATCACTTTCTACCACAAGCAGTTCCTGTTCACACAAGTTGGATCTATTTCATACTACATCTCATAACATGCCTAGTATGTTCACTTATGCTTTACAAAG